TAATTGTCAAAATGGATTCAGAACAGTTTGTAATAAAAATAAATAGTTCTCAGGAAAATATATAGTATCCCTAAAGTCAAATAAGATAATAAGGGTCAATGAACAGAATAATGTTACCCTGAAATAGCAAGCATAGCGTTACAGTAAATCTATTGAATCTAATCAAGCACTTTTATTGCAATCAACTTAAATATGTCTGTTTTCCATGTGCCAATCACAATGAACTTCAGTGTTAGGGCGATGAGTAGTATTTTGTAGAATTGTAGTGAATACTAAAAATCTATGACTGGAATAGTGGAAAAAAATGTAACATTTATAAAGACCTTTTAAAGTCTGCTATGTGTAATACGTGGCTCTTTTTTTAACTAATACTAAATCTCTCCATTATCAAAACTTCCCCACCATAAATGAATAACACATTTTATGGCTAAGTTCATAACCAGATGTGAGAAAGATATTCCAATATCAAAGGTTTACTCATAATAGCAAAAGTTCAATAGATTTGTAACAAAACCTTTCTGTAAGATATAAAAATATTTTGAGGGGGAACAAAATGAAATGAATGTCTTAAATTAGAGCAATAAATAAAACAAAAATCTCCATAAAAGTCACATTCTTTGAAAATCACATTGGGGAATTTAGTTGCATGTCAGAGATGACGGAGGCTTAGCTATTAACTAACTAAAGAAGAGAAACAGCAAAATAGGCAGGCAGAAGAATGAGGAACTGGACAGATTAACAATTCTATAAAGTATTTTGATGTTTGCACATGTTAATTATTAATGCTTAATTATTGATAAAGGCAGTTTTGATTTATATGTGGAAATATAAAATTAAAACTCATGAACCTTATTTTCAGCTGCTTCATTTGCAAAGTCTTGTAATATTTTCTTATTGATATCATAAAGGTGGCACCTAAATAGTTTTGGCATAGCTAAAGTAGAGTGTTATCTTTAAAAAAATTGGAATGGTAGAAAAGTATTATAATGAATTGTGGCCATGGAGATAATTACACCATGTCAGGAAGTTAATCCTTTTATTTGAGGCTGAATGAAGAAGCCTCAGTTCTATACCAAGACAAATCCGCAATGATATTTTTCCACGTTTCCTTTTCATTAGATGAATGAAAGCTAGTTTGTTATACAACATGAAATGAAATGGAATCTTAGGGAGTGATATCCATTCAGTTTATCACTTCTGAAATAAGGCAGATGGCATCAGAGGAATTCAAGTTCCAGAATGATGTGATGTGATTTGAAGTTTGTGTATATTAAACTCCTGTTAAAAGTTAAATATAAAATTTTTGACAAATTGTTGAATGATTATTATAATGTGTTCTACCTCTAAACCCCACTGAAATAAAAGAATCAGCTTTTTAAACAGTTTAGTTTTCCCCATAGAGGGAAGAAATGTTGTCTCAGTTGCACTGATGAAATAAATCTTTGCCAATATAGTAACACCTCGCTATTGCTGGAACCTGCTGCTTGCAGAACTTTTATGGTGCTCAGATAACTTATAAGTTACTCTGGATGTAAAAGCCAGTATGACCCAGCATTTCTTTTACAAAGCTAACAAAAGATTTCTCAAAGTTTGCAATACCTAAATTTTACAATCCATCTGGTGGTGACGCTGTCTATCCCACATTTTTCTAGTTTAATTAATTATTAAAGCTGATTTGTGAAAAATGCTGGAAAATGTTTATATCTTGGTTCTTTTCATCACTGTTTTTTGTGTTTATTTCCTGTGCCTGCCTCTCCTTCCCTCCCTCCCTCCCTCCCTCCCTCTCTCTCAATTTTCAGATCCCTTCTATCTCTATATTTTCTTTCAGTTTCTACAAAGTATATTTAAAAATTCAGTACTTCGAAATATAATCAAATGGCAGTTAGTTTCTTGCAAAGGTATAGCAGCTTGTTTCAAATTGGGCAAACCTTTGGTACTTTCTGTGGGCTAATAATTTCAGATCATTTCTCACCTGAAAAATTGATTCAGGTATGTATTCTTGTCAAGAGGCCTGATGAAATAGCTTGTTTTTCAAACCTTTTTTATGTTTTCCTCACATGGTACTAAAATGCAGGATCATTAATACAGTGTTTCCTAATAACTTTTACCAAGTTTTGAGAGTCGTTAAGTGGACAAAATAAATAAAACTGTTTCTAATTTTTTTTGACATTTTGTCTTTTTTTTTGATATTTTGTCAGAGCTTAATGTGAATATGATTAATAGTAATGAATATGATAAACAGTAATGTCCGCTCCAACAAAAAATATGAAAAAAACTAGTATTTGTATGAAGAATTCCAAAACCATCTCTAATAATATTATCGAGTAAAAATACTAGTTGAATAAATAGAAATTCTTGTATGTTCTACACTACAGGAATGTCACAAATTTTATCAGGCAAAAAGTTCTGGTCCAATTCAGACTTTGAAGAAAGCAGTCAGAATTGTTATCTTGATCTAATCTTCCTCATTTTAAAGCCCTTTCTAATTATAGATTCCATAATTACCAACAATATTAGAGTTGTTGTCTCTATCCAGGCATACTTTATATGCCACACTTATCCAACCTTGGCTGATTCTAGAAAACTAAGCAGAATTGGATCCGTACTTTGAATGAAAGACAACCAAGAATGACAGGGCAGTAGGACAGATTGGGAAGTTGACAAACAAGTTTAAATATAAGAAGGCAGTGGCAAACTATTTCTATATTCTTGTTGCGAAAAATACACGGAAATGGCAATGAATTCACCAGGAGTTAACAATAACCAAGGGGATTACCATATTTCTTACCATATACTCGAGAGCAGTGCAGTATGGAAGCTTCCTCTGGATTATAACTGTTGAGTCCTTCGCGGGAATGTAAGACACGAGAAGCAGTTGTAGTTCTCAGTTTTCTTTATTCTGCGTTCAGCTTACAAGTAGATGGCTTCAGCAGCTCCCAAAACCTCCCAGCTTCTTATATAGACATTTCCCGGGTCAATGCGATACTTTTCCCGCGCCAGCACCCGCGCATGCGCACGGCGCTGGCGACAGCCTGTCTGGTCCCGGGCAGCTTTGCACCTGCCCGGGACCGCCTGCAAACGCCCCGAGCCGTTTGCAAGGCTCGGGACATAACAATAACTGTCAGCCTCACTGCGTAGACCAAACCATAAGAAGGCTAAAACTACTATTACTAATATTGACTATAGTAATATAATTTTGCAAGTTTGACTGTGCTGTACTCCCTTTTCCTCTGAAAAGCACAGAATGTGAATTAGGGAGGTGTCACCTAAGTTACTTGCCGATACTTCTTGTTTTGGGCTTAACTGGTGTTTTTTCCCTTATCATTTTGATAATGGATTTGGTCTATTTCTATTACAGTCATCTTTCTTACTCTCTGCAGTAACCAAAGGTTTCGGGTAATAAAAAGAAAAGGGGAAAGAGATTCTGTGTATTTTCAACATGAAAGCCAAATTCATGTTATTAAGGATGCATAGTGTAAGTCTGTCACTGTGTTACTACCAATAATGCATAGGGATACCTTTTTTCTCTATAAAGAGAGTTATTGAAAAAGGTCATTGGTGTCACTGTGGTATTTCAGAACTGCAATTTGTTGTTAAAGTTGCACTTAAAAATAGTTCCCTGTTTTCCACTATGAAATAACTGGCAAAAAAATATAGACTATATTATTCCCTGAAGAAATCAAGGGAATTATCTTGTTAGAGTTGGCTGAAAAATGGAATTTGAAATATTAGTTATTGAAGTCCATTTTGCATTTGCACCTTGTAAATTGATTTACTCAGGTTCCACAAATTAGCATAAATAGATTTGCTGATTCTAATTATTATCAATGACACAATAGTCTACCTTAATTCCGTTTGTTTGATGTACTTTATTTAAAAATTACTTTTGAAAATTGAAATGCCCGGCAACATTGTTTAAAAATAAATGATGCCATTTGGGGAAATCCAGGTTTGGCTGTGATGAAGAAGGCCTGTCTTGTGAAACAAGCTAGGATTGATTTGATCCTGTGGATCCTGAGGAAGTGGACAGGTTGCTGCGTACTGTAGCTCTACCCTGCCCAATCTGGCTAGTGAAATAAGCAGTTGTAAATGCATCCTTAAGTAAACCATTGCTTGCTTTCCTGCCTTCCACCTAAGAAGTCATATGACCCTCTCTGAAAAAAGCCCAGCTTATCTCAACTATCTTGGATAATTACCAACCTACTCCTGTTGAGATGATAGCAGGGTTGCAGTTCCAAGGAACCCTGGAAGAAATGGATATCTGGACTCTTGGCAGTTGGGATGCAGGCCTGTGAATGAGACAGAAACTACATTGGTCGCTCAGCCAGCATGCATGGCTGAGGAATTCTGGGAGTTCAAGTCCACAAGTCATAAAAGGGCCAAGTTTGAAGACCCCTGCTCTAGTTGATGACCTTTATTGAACCAGGATAGGAAAGATACAGTCAAGGTTCTCCTTGATCTCTCAGTTGCCTTCAACACCATAGGACAGGGAGGCTTCTAGGCCAGCTGTGAGGGTTGAAAGTGGAAGACACTGTTTTGCAGTGGGAGTTTTTTTCCTGAGAGTGAGGGAGGTGAAAGAAGTTTCATCTGCACTGCCACAGGACTAAGGAGATTATCCATTGGCATGTGGAGGAAGATACTTAGATCTATATCTGCTGTAGCAAGTACTGATATCTTTGCTATGTGAACTGGAGCAAGTGTAATGTAAAACAAAATAAGTTGCAACACCACATTTCTTTTCGTTAAAATGATTTATCGTGTGATCTTCTCACTAATATAATTAATGAATTACAACTTTATTTATTTATTCATTTATTTTTCAAATTTTTGAATAGCCCGTCTCCTTCAGAGAGGGACTCTTAACATATGGTAAGAAAAGAAAAACTTTAAAAGTTTTTTCTTAATGTTGCATGGATGGGGGGGGGAACATACTAGAAATTAATTAACTGAGTCATTTAAAAAAAATAATGTCATAGTTAAACTGACTTCTTTATTTTTAGGAGCTTTTGTCTACGGATCCCAGTGCAAGTCCATTGGAAAAAACAGCTGTAACAATTTGATAATCACCAGCAGTCCAATGGTTGTTCAGAGGCTGGGACCTCTATCTCCTTCGGCTCAGCAGGTCTCAACAGCATGCAGCCAAATCGGCCCTAGTTTACAGAGGGCTATGAATATGTCAGATCCAGATATACCATCCGATACAAGGTCTGGCATTCTGGTTTTGTTTTCTTTAATAATATAGCAAGGATTGTCATATCTGCATCATCCAAATAGTGTTTTATGTCATTCAGTGTAGAATTATCTTTCCTGGTCCATACCACTTAACACTGTATTGCAATCAAGAATCAATGAAACCACCATATTCTCATTCTTATAGCATTTTGAATTTATCACTAATAATTAGTTTTGTACATGCCATTGATTATTCTGAGTTTACTTCCATGATACTGGAATTCTGGGCTACAGTAATATTAGTGAGCTTTAAAGTAAATGAAAGAAAAACGTTAAATAAACTTAAGCAAATATACATGGCGATGCTAGTAGTTAAATTTCTAGTAAATAAATGTAGTAAGCTGATTAATTTATTATTTAAATGTTATATATAAAGCAGTGATGTCTAATCTTTTATGGCAAAGATCTGTGGTTGAGGGTAGGTGGCCTGTGAAATGAATGATTCTATAACCAAAATTGGCAGAATCTTTTTTTACTTTTTTCATATTTTATGGGGAAGGCATATGATGCTGGTGCTGGCGCTGACGCCGACGGCATTAGAAGTTGGTTTTAGCAATAGGTAAAGAGCAGGGAACTGCAGATAAAAAGCTTGACGGACTATTTCCATTACTGGTCTTTCATGAAGGCCTAATGTTCCTCAGAAGATGCTTTCGAGATGTACACAGGACTTCCAGTGTGGTGAAAGGCTAAATTCTTATGGTAACACAGTACTGGATATCTCACAGCTGTGTTAGTGCTCATTTGAATATGCAAAGATCAAGATTTAAAGATTTAATTCTGATTATCAAGAATAAGTAACTGAGCTGTGTATGCTAGTTGTTCCACATACAGATAGTCCTCGACCTATGATCAAAATTGAGCCCAAAATTTCCATTGTCAAATGAGTCATTTGTTAAGTGAATTTTGTCCTATTTTACGACCTTTCTTGCCACGTTTGTTAAGTGAATCACTGCAGTTGTTAAGTTAGTATCTGAAATTAACTGAATCTGGCTTTCCCATTGACTTTGCTTGTCAGAAGGTTGCAAAAGGTGATCACATAGTCCCAAAACACTGCAACCATCATAAACATTAGCCAGTTGCCAGGCATTCAAATTTTGATCACGTGACACGGGGATGATGCAATGGTTCTAAGCATGAAAAACGGTCATAAGTCACTTTTTTCACTTTTTTAACTTTGAATGGTCACTAAATGAATTGTTCTAAGTCTAAGGCTACCTGTAATTGCCAAGATCTAGGATTCAATTGCTAAGATTACATTGTTCTTTCTTTTCTGATCTTTACTACAGATCCCTCATGTCACGAGAATCTTTGGCGTCCACAACGTTGAGCCTTTCAGAAAGCCAGTCAATACAAAGTGTCAAACAAGAGTGGTTTCACGGTTATAGAGTTTATCCTTCTCTTCCCTCCAACTCGAGTTCACAAAATAGCAGTCACTTCGGTGATGTCACAAATGCTACATCGGGGATATCCATGTCCAACAACTTTTCTACTTCATTGCCATCTTACTTGCTCAGTATGGAAAACAACCATCCACCTTATTCTAGCCCTCACCATTCCTCAGCCAGATCTCATTCCGCAAAAAAGAGAGCGCTGTCTCTGTCCCCTTTGTCTGATGGCATTGGGATTGACTTCAATACGATCATCCGCACCTCCCCTACTTCTCTAGTTGCCTATATAAATGGTTCAAGAACATCTCCGTGCAACATCTCTCCTCAGCCTGAAGTTTATGGGCATTTCTTAGGAATAAAGGGAAGTTGCATCCCTCAGACTTGCTCTATACCAAATCCTCAAAAAAGGCTTCTTATGGCTAATTGCAATGCTACCCCTCCAGACTACAGTGAAAATGGAAATAGTGAATACCAGCGCATGCAACAGTTGGAGCAAAGCAATCTGCAGCCGTTGATCACAAATAATATGATGGTTCAACAAGGTACATGTTTAGTAGAGAGCCAACCTATGGGCTTTGTGAAGGGTGGACATGGGGATATTTTTTCTGGAAATGCAAATGGTGTTCCCTCTGCTTCTTCACTGGCTCCCCCTGTGCTTCCTCCTCCACATGGTCCACCGCCTCCCTATCACGCACATCAGCACGCGCTCATCAACCATTCCCGTCCACTTTCCTTGCCTGCATCTATCCAGAACTGTTTTTTAGATGAAGACAGTGAACTCGAAGATTTCAGTGGCAAGCACTGCTGTCGTTGGATAGACTGCAGTGCTTCCTACGATCAGCAAGAAGAACTTGTGCGACATATAGAAAAAATTCACATTGACCAGAGGAAAGGGGAAGATTTCACTTGTTTCTGGGCTGGGTGCCCTCGAAGATACAAATCATTTAACGCCCGTTACAAATTGCTTATCCATATGAGAGTGCATTCGGGGGAGAAGCCAAACAAATGTACGGTAAGTTTAAAATGGTGTTGATCACACTCAAAAGATCCACGAATCTTCATTTTTCAATGCTATGCTGGTGTTTTCTTATGAAAATATCTCGATAAAAAGGGAAATGGGATTTGTTTATATTAATTCAGGAAGATAAGTAAATAAATGGAAATGTGAAATGGTATGAATGGGGAAAATGCTATGTTTTAAACTGAGCTCAGTGAGACAAATCATTCATCTTCTGTTTATGGGTGCTTAAAAATTTGTTTTGGTTTAAAAAGTTGCTCAGTGAAATAGGCGAATTAGGAAAAAGAATGGTTTGATCTTTTGGGGGGGCACAGTATCATATTTGTATAACATATGCTTAAACCCTTGTTCCCCTAAAATAGATCCAAATCAATTACTGCCTTTCTGTGAATAGTAGGATTTGCATATCACGGTTACCCATCTCAGATACAGAATTTTGAATATATGTAAGCTGTTTTCAGATCTTCTAATAAATGGCAGGTTCCTGGAGGAAAACCTTTTTTCCCAAGTAGATGGTGAACTATATTTCTGGGTGATTTAAAGTGCAGCAAATAGCCAGATATTAAATATATTATTATTATTATTTTACTTGCTTTCAAGCACCAAAGTTTCTTGGATTGTTTTTGTTTAACATTTTAACTGTCTGCCTACAAAGGACTTTCTGATTGAACTAGCTCACAATGTAAAAATAAAATGTAGTACTATATAAAATGAAATATTTTGAAAATCATGCAGGATATTTGGTGAGGTAATTGTGGCCTAGCACATGTAGGAGGTGAGAAGGAAGTATTCTAGATATATTTGAACCTATCTATTCACATTTCATAAAAAACAGTACATTGTTTAATCACCCTCTTTATATTTTAATTTTCAAATATTTACTTACTATCAGTACATTTTTAAAATGTGGATTATTTTTGAAGTGTTGTTACTTTTATATATAACCATAATCAACTGATTTCTAATGCTTTACAAAATCTAATACCATTACTGACTTCATAATATCACTGAGGGTATTAAATGATAACTTACAGTTCTGAGATAATATAAATGGAAAATTAAATATCATAAGATGTCCCAAGATGCAAAATATACATTATTCTTGTAAACTATACATTCAGTGTGGCTGATTCAGTTGCATATATTTAGTAGTACTAAACAAAGCAAATGGTTTTATTAAATTATTGAGCTTATCATTTGCTATAAAAGTACTTCCTGCTTCAGAAAGGAGTAGGATGGTGAGAAATGTGAAAAATGTCCATGTTGTGTTTTTTCCTTCACTTCCAAGAAAGAGGAAGAGAAGGGATGGTTACACAAATCCTTTTGATCGATAGTTGCATATTCTTTAGAAGATCGCCTCACACTTAAACAACAATAACTTAGTTTATTTAAATAACAGAAATATATAAATGGATTACACTCCATAGTTTTGTGGGGGTTTTTTGCTAATAGAAGATCTTTTTTTCTTGTTCTTTTGAGTTTTTGGACTTTTCGTTGCAGCATAATATATTGGCTCATCCTTCTCTTGTTTACTGATTAGAATCACATTGGCTGGAACTGCTTATATTTACTTATTGCAAGATGAGAAGCCAGGGGCCAAGAGAATCTAATAAGAAGTAAGAAAAAGAACTCTGGATTCTCTAACATTGTTTTAAAATTCAATGCCACAATTTGCAATTCAAAACCTCTCTGTATCATATTTTTGTTCTTGTGCAAATGTCATATTTAGTACTTTTATTCCATTTAAGCAAGTCATTGTGTAAACATTTTTACAATCAATTATGGCTTCATTATCCTAGGTGTGGATTAAAGTACAGGTAGTCCTTGGCTTATGTCCATTCATTCAAAGTTACAGTTGCATTGAAAAAAAAAATGGACATACAGCTGGTCCCAAAGTAGCACATGTCACAAGAGTCCCATGCTCACATGACTGTAAGTCAGGCACTTGGGTGCCCAACTTGCAAATATGTTGCAGTGGGCCTCTCACACGATCAGCATTTGTGACCTTCTGTGGTAGCTTCCCACGCAAAGTCAAGAAGGAAGCTGGTCAGGGAAGGTCACAGGTTGCTTCATTAAGTACCTCCTGCCACTTTTTCTCCTACCCACAGAATCCGGTCACACCTATGTTGGTTTCATGAGGTCTCCTCAAACTCATCATGTCCTCTGCTGGTCTTCCCAAGACTTTCCCTAGCATCCCAAGACGCACACATGACTTCTCCCGACTCTCCCCCAGCCTCCCTGATCCATGCAGAGTCTCTGCCAGCATCCCGCAGCCTTCCCAGACCCATGTGCAGCTTCCCCCAATCCCTCCCGGCGCCCTTAATGCTCCTTACCTGGGATTCCTGCTTCTTCCTGCTAAATGATCTGTGTGTTCTGATGGCAATTGTCATTAAACAATGGGATCACATGGCATCACACTATATGATGGCATTGGTTAGTGACAGCAATCATGGTCCCAATTGTTGTTGTAATCTGAGGATTACCTTTAGTTTGAATAAATTTATACAACTGCCACCATCAAAAGAGTGACTAATAGTAGAGCATTATGTACACTTATATAGCAGTGTACATTAAAATAAATGGTTGGACAAAGAGATTTTCAAAATGAATATGAACAACTTTTAGCATACCGTACTTTAAAAGATTGAAATATTTACCAATAGCTGTCATTTGTCAGTATTTTTCCATTTTTGAGATTATGAACGAGTGAGAATTCTGCAGTGTCTATTGACGGAATGAGGTTTAGATTGAAGAGCAAGTGTAGATATAGTGCATAGTGATTTATTATGTATTTGTTATCATCATTGTTTCTCTTACTTTCTCTCAGACATGCCAAAGGAAAGAGTGGGGACTGATCAATTGCTAGTTTAAGGATTAAAAGGTATACACAGGGTTGAATAATTTGCAGATTTGTTAGAGAATAATCTAAATTGGGAAACATTTACTCAGAAGAAACAACCTATATAGTGCCATAAAAAGAACCACCTACACATAATAAGAGAGCCAGTTTGGTACAGGGATAAAAGGCAGTGACTTAGAAACTGTGAGTTCTAGTCCTGCCTTAGATATGAAGCCAGCTGGATGACTTTGAGGAAGTCCCTCTGTCTGAGCCTTTGAAAGGAGGGCTGGGAAACCCCTTCCAAAAATCTTGCCAAGAAAATTGCGGGGACCAGTGGGGGCAGTTGTCAGGAGTGCACACTGGCTCAAAGGTACAACATAAATAAAATACACATAATAAACCAAGATAACAGTAAAGAAACAATGACTGGCAATGTGTATATCATCTGATCTCTTGCCTTCATTTTATAGTTCCTATGATAAGGCAAAATCATTCTGACATACAGTTTTTGGAGAGATAAGTACCAACCTCTGATATTTCATTATTTTAACATTATGATTCTTTTCCAGTGTGGGGCAATTAAGTTGGCTGACTGTATTTATTTACATGATTAAATCTCAAGCATAAAAATACTTAAAGGAACTTAGTCTCTGTTTCATTTTACGAGCTAGAATAATAATTGCCCAACACTGGAAAACTCTAGATAATGTAACAACTGATTAAGGCATCTTAAATGGCTACATTAGAAAACAACCATAATGTTAAAATAATGAAATATCAGAGGCAGGAAATACAGGTCTATCGAATTCAGATAGATTTTGTAATTTATGTCAATAGCAATTGACTATAATGTAATATTTTATATAAATGATAAATTTACATATGTACAGTAAATCTCTCTTTAAAGACTTCAGATTTTTGTGTGCTTGCTGTATATTTTTTTCTTTATGCAGCTTGGATTTATGTTATTTAGTTAACTTGATAATGCTAATCATAATTCAATAAAATATTCTCACATCTGGTATAGGTTATTGCTCAAATGCTATTTTTAGCAGCAAGCTAAAAATAATGAAGGGCAAAACAGCCACTTTGGGGGCATTTTTAGCAAAAACAAGCTAGCACAGAGGAATGAGATAAATGTCTACTATATACACAGAGGAATGAGATAAATGTCTACTATATTTTTCTGATAAGAAATAGATGTGAATGATCTTATACTATGAAGGAAATGTGTGGTTTGCCCTGTAATGCTCCCTTAAAAACATTTTCTCCACTTTTCCTTTGTTGTTATATTGTGGCTTTCTTTTCTTTCTAAAATGATGATTTCAATTATTCCATCAGTTTAAAATTATACATCCTTTTGTGCGTAGTATAGAAACCACTTTTTTCTATAAGCTTTCAACGGATAAATATCTTGTACAGGAAATATTATTAATTTTATCCAGTCTGCCTTTCCTTTTGTGGGACCAATATGGTAATAATTTTCTTGTCTAATATTTTCCTAGTTGCATTGTAGAATGCATTAAGAACAAACCACTAAGCAAACAAACTTATCTGAACCAACAATGGAATATCATTTAATGCTAATTAGGATTCATGACATAATGGAAGGACAGAGCTGCTTTTCTTTTGTGAAAGTATGAAAGGGTTGTCTAGTGCAATACATTATCTCTTTCCTGCCACCCTCTAATAATTTAGGGGCATTTATATAACTTTTAGTCTTAAGAATTCCAAGTTCTGCTCTGGTAGATCTGTTACATGCTGGTACTTGCTTTATATGTGCATTTGAGAACATCCTGTTATTGCAGCCTGAGTTGTTCATTTATTTCCAACTCCCTTGAAAAAGAATGTATAGATTTGTATAGATTTAGCCCAAAGTCTGACAATACTACTCTGAATCTAATGAAGCATGGAACTCCAGTATAATGAAGTTCACAGAAGACTTTGCTGAAATTAATGGTCATAAATAATATTTGCACAAATAAACAAAACAATGTTTGTTACTTTTAAAATGAATATTGTTTCCAGGTACCATTATTTTTTTGGGTACAAAATAAAGGTAGGGCAGGCTTTTTCTATGACACTAAAATGTGTAGTCTATGTTAATTCTCTGTCATCCACGTCATGGTTGTCCCAAAGGTGCTTTTTCAAGAGG